ATATTTTATTACCAAATTTCCCAAGTATAGAACTTAATGGATCTATAGAATATGGTATTATTATGGTAGCTGGTAATGATAATGATATGGAAAAACTAATCGATTTCTTAATAAAAAATGATATACCACATTCTGAAAAAGAATGTTTAATAAATTTTCATACATCCCAAGTTGACACTATAAAAAATGATTTAGAACAATTATCATTTCAATCCTATGAACCAACCATTCCAATTTTATCATGTTCAACTGCAAAATTTTATAATAAAGAATCACAGGATTTTACTCCAAGCTTTCTATTTAACATTGCTCGAAGTCCTGTTTTTTTATTTAAAACAACAAAAGCAATCTATGAAAAGAATAACATTTGTTCAAACGAAAAAAGACCAATAAGCACAATTGAAATATCTCCACAAATGTATGTTTTGCCATCAATAAAAAACAATATAAAGCAGTTATCAAAAGAAAACAATGACAATCTTGACCATCAATTTTTCACTACAATATGCCAAGACCATAAATCAGATTTTTTCCAATTTAATAGTTCATTAATTAAAACTTTTGGAAATCAATGAGAAAATACCTTTTTTTGTTAAATACTTTTTTATATGTGTTTTTGTAATAAAAAAAAAAATTTTGGAGGAATTATTATATTTTTGTTCTTCATTTTTTTTTTATTCTTGGTTTAATATTTTTTTTTTTAAAATTAACGATATAATTGCCTTTTACATTTTTTTTTTTTTATTGTCTAACATTTTCCTGTTTGTAATTTTTTTTTTTTTTTTTTTTTTTTTTTTTTTTTTTTTTTTTAAATTGGATATTACAGTTTAAGCTGTTTCTCCTCGGGGCCTATTTGTAATGTGGTTTTTATTAATAAATTTTTTTTTAATTGGAAGTACGGTATTGTAGTTAGGGGGTACCTCTGAGGTTGTTGGTGGTACGCAAAGTTGTCTTTTTTTTTTTTTTTTTTTTTTTTTTAAATATTAATGATTATTGTTTGACCTTAGTCTTTAACAATAATAAAGTTTATTTTTTTTTTTTTTTTTTTTAAATAGTTAATTTAAATAATGTTCATTATATGATTCTTTTACATTTATATGAAAAAGTCAACAATCACATTATTAGGGAGAGATTTTCTTAATATACAGTATTTTTTTGAAATCCTGTTTTTGATTATTTTTATATTATTATTATAAGAGTTGATATCATTGAATCTTTCTGGTTCTTTAGCCATCGATAATTTATATTCTTTTATGCAAAGTTGTCAAAGGAAGCGAGTGGGAATCGAACATCGTGTCTGGTAGGTTGCCTGTTCTAAATATAATTGATACAATTTATATAATCACAGACGGGCAGAGCTATATTTCCAGACCTGTTTTTTATATGCTAACGAGTCGTATGGGGTCGAACTCGGAACTGGCAGGATACACTGTCTATGGCTTTGACCAGCAGGGCCTAAGCGTCCAGTTCTCGCTTTTTTTAATCTTGAGAGAGAGTCGAACTCGCGACATATATGTCATTCCTTTGAAAAGAAGTTGTATTCAGAGCGGGAATCGAACCCACGACCTAATCCGTGTTAAGGATTCGTGATAACCGACTACACCATCCGAACTTCATATATTTTTTTAAGAAAAATTACTGAAAAAAATATTCACCACAAAAAATAGATAGGGCAAGATTCGGAGTGGGATAAATAAACCAAAAAGATTAAAATTGTTTTAAATTCATTTGGTTGCCGATGAGTTTAAACAATTGTAAACCTCAAGATAACACAACCTGGATAATAATGAAAAATTAGAAATATTTAGCCATATCTAGAATTTAATTAATTAAAATGCAACTACCAAAATATATAGAGGATTACCGTTCCTATAATACCAACTATATATATATATATATATATATATATATATATATATATATATATATATATATATATATATATATATATATATATATATATATATATATATATAAATATTGAATATAAAATAATCATGATAATAATATAGTTTAACTAATAAACATGATTCGAACACATCCAATTGGATGAGGTTATTGAAAAAAAAAATATGGATAGAAAAATTGTTTGAACAATAAACAATTATTATCAAATTGAGAGCAGATTTCAGTGAGTTAGAAATCAAAAAAAACTAATCAAATTAACAATAAATCAAATATTGGCTTGAAAAAAAAAATTGATTAACCAATCAGATTTATTTTATTTATCTTTGATATTTTAAATTATAAAATGATAAAACAACAGTTAAACCAAACAATAATATCGTTGAAATTTTAATAACCTTTGAAATAATTAGTTTTAATCTTTCTCTTTTTTCTTTTTTTGATAAACCTGATGGCAATGAAGATGATGTTGATGATTCCTTATTATTAGTATTTATATTATTTTTGGTTTTAATTTTATTATTTGGTGAATTCTTTTTATCATTACCACCGCCAAACTTTAAAAATATAATTGATAAGATGGTTTCCAAAATATGCTCACCATCCATATTTGGTATAGCGATTGCATTGAATGCAGCCAAACCAGCTGAAACAGGTATTAAATAACTAAAGAATTGATTAAAATACCAAGGTAAATCCCATCCATTTAAAAATATAAATCTACTTTGATAATTATTGACAATAACTATTTAAAAAAATTAAAAAATTAAAAAAATTAAAAAAAAGAAAATAATTAATAAATATAATTAAACAAATAAAAAATAAATCATAAATATCTTTCTTTATACCTACAAGAATCCCATAACTCTTGAGCAGTACCTAAAAATGGTAATTGTTCAACATTGTCGAAATCTTGACTTAATAATTCAAGATTAAAGATATGATAATTGAATTGATTGAAATTGATACATTCTTTTTTCAATTTCGCACACTCTGAAGGGAAATCAATACTAACAGGTACACACTCAACTAAAGTTGATGCATCATTAACTCCAAAGCATTCTCTTAATCGTTTACTATTATCAACTTGATTTATTAAATTATATTTCTTATTACTATTATTATTATTACTATTTACATTACTTAAATTTACATTTGTATTATTGTTATTAAATATATTCTCTAAACATGATATTGTATTTTGTGGAATACAATACGACCTCTTCTTTTCCAATTCCCTATATATACATTCAACAAGATCACTCCTATTACTAATTTTACAATCGTTAATTGATAAAATTTGATCTCCGATGTTTAAATTTCTTTCTAACAATGATCCCTGAAAATAATAAAATATTAATATAAACACTGTATTATTCTATTGAATGAAACTAAAAATAACAACAACAATAATAATAATAATAATAATAATAATTACATTCGGTATGCCAGTAATATATAATTTATCATTTGGAATTTTATATAATGGTGATAATAAAAATGATGATGATGATAATAATAAATAACCAATAATACATAATACAACATTATGCCAAACACCACCACATTGAATTCTTAATTTTTGCCATAAATTAATTTTATCTAACTCACTCTAGCATAGATTTTTATTTTATTTTAGTTTTTTATTCCTTTTTTTTTTTGTTATTATTAATTTTGTATTTTTACTTACATAATCCAAATTAACAGAAGCACCAGGCATGATGAATAAAAAGAAGAAACCTATACTGTTAATTTCACATTTTGAGACGTATGATGCTATTGCATGACCTAATTCATGAATGATCATACTAATTACTACAGAAATAATTAAATACCAAGAATCTGAACCTTTCACATTAACACCTGGTACAATTGGACTAATGACTGGTTCAATACCAATTGGTTTAACGAATATAATGAAAAGATTGTAAACTAATAATCCAATTGATATTGGTAACAATGATAATGATACCCAACTTCCAAATTTAAACCAATAGTACCAAAATCTTTCATACTTTCCTGTAGATATTGATTTAATTATTAAATTTAATCGGGTGGTTGAAAAACCAATATAAAATAGTTGAACACTTAAATTTGATCTTTCTAAAAATCCATCAATATCAATTTGATTCTTATATTTTATCTTTTTTATATTTTATTTTCATTTTTATTATTATTATTATTATTACTACTATTATAAATAAAATGGTAAATTAATTTAATTTTGAAATAAAATAATACCTACATAAATTAATTTTAATATTCCAAAAAATACAATCCATATTCCTATTACTTTAATTACAAATAAAAAAAATGGTGTTGCTATTGGGTTGTTCCATGCATCCATTATAACTATTATTATTATTATTATTTTTATTATCCAAACAACAAACTATTTTTAGGTTTAGTTTTCAACAATTGTTGAAAAAAAATTAAAAAAAAAAAAATTAAAAAAAAAAAATAATTATATGAATTAATAGAGTTTTGTTTTTTATTTTATTTTATTTTATTTTTATAATATTTTTTTTATAATATATTTTTTTTTTTTTCCAATACGAATGACTGTATAAGACAAAAAAAATAAAAAAAAATAAAAAAAAAATGAAAAATAAAAAAAAATAATTTAAAATTGATGGTCGAAATTAAAAAAAAAAAAAAACAAAAATAAAATAAATTAAAAATTGTGATGATACAAAATGGTATTGTTGTTCGTTTATTTGCATATGCATATACAGTCATCGATCAACGATAAATTAAAACAAACAAAAAAAAAAAAAAAAAAAAAAAAAGTAATTAAAAAAAAAAATATTAATAAACAAATCATACAAAAAAAATAAGTGTGTAAACGGATTCTTATTTTCAAAAAAATTAAAAAAAAAATTAAAAAAAAATAAAAGTTTTTTTTTTTGATAGGAAAAAAGTTAAATAGAATTTATTTAAAAGTAATTTTATATGGATATGTAGAATTAAACTCATGAGTTAAAAAAGAAACCTGAAAAAAAATAAAAAAAAAAATATTAGTATATATAAATATATCTCTCTACAATATCTTTATTTTTTTATAGGAACCAAAAGGAGTTTGAGAGGGAATTTTAAATCAGACTTTTCCATTCAGCATGGTTGATTAATCTAAGAATAGCAAATATATAATAATCATCATTTGAATTCACCTCTTTCATTCCTTTTTTTTTTTTTTTTTTTTTTTTTAAACTGGTATAACAATTTCTGCGAATTATATGTGCTTACATTTGTAGTTTGTTTCATTAAAAAAAAAAAAAAAAAAAAATCAAAAAAAAAAAGTTTTATTATAAAAAAAAAGAAAAAAAAAAAAAAAATGGAAAAACGAAAAAAAAAAGTAATTTTTTTAAAAAAAAAAAAAAAAAAAAAAAAAAAAAAAATCACGTTACTTATGCTGAGGTGGATATCTTGGTAACAAGAGTTAATCAAATAATAGATTACTCTCTTTCATTCATTCATTCATTCATTTATTTTATTTTATTTTAATTTTTTTTTTTAAGGAAAAAGATATATTTTATAAAAAAGACTTTTAAAATTTTTTTCTGTTTATTCAATCCAAAACTTGAGGTCTAAAGTTATGAATAAATAATTTATTTATTTTCATTTTTATTTTTATTTTTATTTTTATTTTTTTTAATTTTTCTTTTACACTGGTGGTGTCATTATGTAATTATAAAAAAAAAAAAAGAATTATGCTTAAAGCAGTTTGTAAGATATTTTTTTTTTAATTTATTTTCAAAATTTTTTTTTTTTTTTTATATTTTCATTTTTTTTTTTTTCTATTGAATAATAATAATATTTTTCATTGTATTAATACATAAATATAATAATTTTTTTTTAAAAAAAAAAGCACACACAATTACACACAACGAAAACTACATTATTTTTTCACCAATTTCTTTTTTTTTTTTATTTATATTTTTTCCAATTCTTTTTTTTTTTTTTTTTTTTTTTTTTTTAATCTATATATGGTATTTTTTTTTTCATAAAAAATTGTAATATGCTTTCTAATAAAACAAAAACAGCTTTAATAAAGGTATTATCGATACCATCAAATAAAAAAAATGTTTTTAAAATAATTGGTATTGATAACATCAATGGTATTATTAGATGTTATTCAACACACAATAGAAATAATGGTACTCACAGTAATAATACTGTCCACCAAAATAACCATAATCTTCAACATCAAAACAGTAACAATAACAATAATAATAGTAATAGTAGTAATACTAAAAATAACAATAACAACAACAACAATTTATTTACATCAACACCATTCCAAACATTGGTTAGTAATGTAAATAAAGCATTTAAAAATGATAAAGATCCAGATTATTTACCAACTCATCATAGTGTTTTAAATATGTCATTAGATCAATTAATTGAAATGTATAAGGTATGTGTTTATCTCTTCATTTTTACACACTCACAGAGAGAGACTTTGAAAGTGAGACTAAAAGTTAATAAAATTTTTATACATTTTAGAATAGAAAAGTGGTTGATCTTAGTCATGTACCAACATTAGATCCACAGGATGTATTTATAAATAGCGAGTTAAAATTAGAGGAGATTGATGTTTTTGGATTCGATTATGACTATACATTAGCAAACTATGGTGATCAAGTTCAACATTTAATTTATGATTTAGCAATGTCACATTTAGTTGATGAACAAAAATATCCAATGGCTTTAAAAGAGATTAAATATGACCCAACTTTTGCGATTAGAGGTTTACATTTTGATGTAAATTATGGTTTATTAATGAAATTAGATTATTTAAATAATATTCAAGTAAATATATATATTCATTATTATTATTTTTTATTATTGTCAATAATTAATATATTTTATTTATTTTTTTAAAATAAAGGCAGGTGCAATCTATCATGGTAGAAGACCATTAACAAAAGAAGAAGTGATTCAAATTTATGGATCAATGCAATTAAAAAGACATTATTGTGATAGTTTTTTAAAACCAATGAGTGATATATTTTGTTTACCAGAGGCTTGTTTAATTGCAAATACTATTCAATATTTAACTGATCATAACTTGGCATTTGAACCAAGAATCATTCATGAAGATGTTACCGCCGCAGTTGGTAAGGTTCATTTAGGTGGTGGTTTACATAATAAAATCATTTCTGATTTCCCACTTTATTTAAACAAACATCCATTATTAGGCGAATTTTTATTGAAATTAAAATCACATGGTAAAAAAGTAAAAATATTTTTAAAATCTCTTTAATTTATTTATATATATATATTTTAACCAACTTTTATTTAATTGTTATTATTATTATTATTATTATTATTATCAATCATTATTATCAATTATTAATATTAATACATTTATTATTATATTATTCAAACAAACTTTAATAGTTATTTTTATTAACTAATAATTCGTACTTTTATGCAAATCATGGTATGAAATATTTATTAAATGATCAATTGAATGGAAAATATGATGATTGGACAGACGTATTCGATGTGATTATTACCAAATGTGATAAACCATCATTCTTTGGTAAAGGTAGACCATTTAGAATGTATCATCCAGACTCTGATAGATATGATTGGAGTGAGGTTAATCATTTCGAACCAAAGAAAGTTTACGTTGGTGGAAGCTTAAAACAATTCACAAACATTAGTAAATGGAGAGGTAGATCTGTTATGTATTTCGGTGATCATCTCTATTCAGATTTAGTTGAACCCTCTCAAAAAGAAGGTTGGAAAACTGGTGTCATCATTAAAGAATTGGAAGTTGAAGTTGGTATTCAAAACTCTCCAAAATATAGAGAACAATTAGCTGAATTATTACAAGTATAGTATTTTATTTGTTTATTTATTTTATATAATTATTTTAATATTAATTTTTTTTTTTTTTTTAGCTTGAAGATGTAATTAGAAAATGTCAATTTTTTACAGGTGAAAAGAAAGAACTATTTTTAGAACAATTAAAAACTGAAAGATATAAAAAACGTTTAGCATTAAAAGAACCATTCAATGCAAACTTTGGTAGTTTATTTAGAACTCATACAAATGCAACAATGTTTGCTTCCTCACTTCAAAGACATGCCGATATTTATACTTCAAAGATTGAGAATTTAATTTCTTACCCATTAACTGCAAGTTTGATACCGAGCAGAAATTATCTCCCACATGAATTCAAATTAAATTAAAAATAGAAAAAAAAAAAAAAAAATATATTATAATTTTTGCAAAACTTTTTTTTGAATTTGTTGTGAAGACATTTAATAAAAATAATAATAATAAAACTAATAAATATAAAAACGCAATTTTACTAATTATTTTAGTCAAAAAAAAAATAAAAACTTCTTTTCTTGTCACTTTTATTTCCAAGGTTAAAAATTTTACTAATTATTAAAGTCAAATAATAAAAACTACATCCTCCTCAATTTTGTTTTCAAAAATATTAAAGATAAAGGTTTAACCAATTAAAATCCCAAAGAAGTGAATTATAATAATAATTTACATCAAAAACCTTTTCCTTATCCTAGTTTTCTCAAATTTAAAAAAGAAATAAATGTTGTTTTGTTTAAATTCTTTTAATTAAAAAAAAAAAAAAAAATTATTTATTTATTTTTGAAATACATAATAAGTTATTATGTTGAAAGCGTGTGTATTAAAAATGATATGTGATATAAATTAGTTAAAATATTTAAAGTTTTAAAAAATATGGAATAAAGATTGGAAAAGAATGAAAAGAAAAAAAAAAGAATATAGTTAGTTATTATGACGATTGACGACGATGGACTATAAAATAATAATTTTTTTAAAAAAAATATATATAGACACCTATCCCCTCTTTCTATCTCTATAACTCCTTATGACGCATATTTAAACCCCCCTACTTTCTCCTTTTGTATATTTTTTTTTAAAAAAATTATTATTTTATATATTTTTTTTTTTTTTTTTTTTTAGATTTTTTTTTGGCTTTTTTTTTTTTGGTAATTTTAAGTATATATCAACATTGGGAAAATGGTTTGGTAATTGGTTTATTCGAATCTACCACGTTTGTTACCGAAACCACCGCTGCTACCTCCACGACCGCCACCACGGCCTCCACCAAAACCTCCACGGCTGCCACCACGACCGCCGCCGAAACCACCACGACCACCACCATTACCGCCGCCGAAACCACCACGGCCGCCACCACGACCACCGCCGAAACCACCACGACCACCACGACCGCCGCCGAAACCTCCACGACCACCACGACCACCACCTAAAAAAATTGGAAAAAAAAAATTAGAATGAAAGAAAAAAAAATTAAATGGTATTAAAAGAAAAAAAAAAAAAAAAAAAAAAAAACACATACCGAATGATCTACCACCACCACGTTGGCTTCTTTCAACTTGGATATCACGACCTTCAAAATTGGTACCAGTGAGTGCAATAGCTTTTTCAACTGAATCCTCTGATTCGAAAGTGACAAAAGCGAAACCCTTTAATCTACCAGAATCTTCGTAGACTGGTAAAGATACACGACTGATGGCACCACATTTACCAAAGAATTCTTTGACGAGGGTTTCATCAACAGTGAAAGAAATATTTCTACAGACGATGGTAGTTGGTTCACCTTCACCATCTGATGGCTTGCTATTGGCACCATTGATTCTAAGATTACCTTGACCGTTGAAATCTTTACCGTTGTATGAGATGGCAGTATCTCTACCTTTTTCAGTGGTAAATGTGACGAAAGCGGCAACTCTTTGTGGGTTACTATTTAAGATTTTAATGTTTGTGATATCACCACATTCAGAAAAGTATTCTCTTAAGTCATCTTCACAGACACCTGATGGTAATTGACCAACGAATACCTTTAAGTCATCTTCACTTTTGGCTGAGGATTCCTCTTTGGTTGATTCCTTTTTAGTGAAAGTGCTCTTTGATGATGATGATCCTTCACCAACAACTTTTAATTCATCTTCAGATTCTGATGATGAGTTATCATTTTCTTCACTTGACTCAGTTTCGGATTCGGATTCTTCCTTCTTTCTTTTTTTACTTTCGATAGCTTTTTGATCTAAGGAATTTATTTTAAAAAAAATATAAAAAAAAAAAAAAAAATTTTAAAATTTATTAATATTTATTTTTTATTTTTTTAAAAAAAATAA